ATAAAATGTTTGTCTTTCTGTTTTTTATTTTAATTATTTTATTTAGAGTTTAAATAACAGTTTAAAGACTTTATTCTGCTGTTTTTAAAATGTTTTGAAATAGCAAATAAAATTAAGTTTTAAAATTCTGAGGTCGGCAATAACTGACCTTAGGAACTTTCTGTTTAGCAGTTAAGTCAGTAATTAATGCCAAATGCTGACCCTAACTTCACATAGAGAGAGAGTAATAAAAAAAACTTATTGTTTTAACCCAACCCAAATCCTCAACATTTACAGTAAATGCATGAACTGAAGCCCTTGCAGCTTCCTAAATCAGTATGATGTCAGGTTGCCAATATAAATGTTGTTATAAAAAAAATATCAATTTAATTTGAATGTTTTGTTTGAAAAAAAAGTTTCCTTAATTTTAAAAAACTTATACTTATTTAAACTTGTACTATTTATTTCTTAAAACATTTATAACACAACATTATTGTCTTATCTTTTCTCACAACTTATTGGTTTTTTTTTTAATAAGGGGGGGTATTGTTTCAGGGTGAATTTCTCAACAGTCAAAAAAAAATAAAAACTGTTAACAATTTTTTAAAAAATTTTGTAAAAAGTTTAAAAAAAGGTTTATAAAAGGTAAAATGAAAAATTATTTTTTTTTGTAAAAAGTTTCTTTTTGTTTATGTTTTTTATCCTCACTTTTATTTATTAATTTCTTTTAAAGGGATCCCTAAGTGCTCCTAACATATAATCTCATATGAAAGAGCATTAAAAAAAAAAAGTAAGTTTTTTTTCTTTTTCACTAAATTGTAATAATAAATGCATGCTAACAAAGTAAGTATCATGTTAAGTAAAAACAATTACTTAATAGTATTAAATACGTTACTTGCTCATTACACTGTAACTGCAACTTAAATTTTAAATTATAAATTAAGCTGTAAATTTATAACAGTAACTTACGCTATTTTAAACTCCGCCAAACAAGAAAATCATAAGATAACATTTAAATATGAGAGATAGTATGTTAAAAGATAACAATTACGTGCTAAAGAGACAATTTTATACTAACGCAACCTCCTCCCCCATCGGCGCGAGCTGTAAGAGAGAGGGGGGAGGAGGTTGCGTTAGTATAATAAACATCAGACATTTTTTTTTTAATGCTCTTTCATATGAGATCATATCTTTATAGCACTTTAGGGATCCCTTTAAATTAATTAGTTTATTTTGATTATATATTTATTTTAAATTAAACAGTTTTTATTAATTATATTTTAGTAATCAGTTGTTTAAATTTTTTTTTCTTTGGTTTTTTACTCGAGTATAAATACCTAAAATTTTAAAATACTACGCTACACTTCAAGGTGAGCAGTTAGGTTGGCATTGCCAATTGCTGACCCTTATTCCGAGGGCTGTTAGAGTATATCTAAAATGGGTATTAAAGTGTCTCTAAAAGCAATTTTTTTCGGAATTTTCTGCTGCCACCCCCTAAATGTGTTCTATGTAATAAATTTATAAAATTCTTGAAAAAAATATTTTAGGGGTCGCTTAAGACCCTTAAACATTAGATGCGTAATATTTAAAAAAAAAAAGTTCCTCAAAAGTGTTTTATGTTGGGTTTCAAAAGAAGTGAAATTTTATAAAAATTTCAAAAATAATAATCATTTTATATAAAGATTACTAATTTAAATTTTATGGCTTAAAAACTATTATTTTTTAACAAAAAAAAAAGTACATATTTTCAAAGTTTTTTTTAAATAAAATTTTTTAATTTGTATTTCCATAAATTGTTTTTATTATTTTAAATTTTTTATAAAATTTCACTTCTTTTGAGACCCAACATGATATACTCTTGAAGAACTTTTTTTTTCAAAATATTAGGGACCCATTTGATATTTAATTAATTATATATTTAAGTCTTGAGCAACCCCTGCAATTTTTTTTTATTCAAAAATTTTCTAAATTTAGTATTAATTTATTACATAGAACACATTTAGGGGGTGGCAGCAAACAATTTCAAAAAAATTTGTTTTTAGAGGCACTCTAATGTACAGCCCTCGGAATTAGGGTCAGCAATTGGCGATACCATTCTAACTGCTGACCTTGAAGTGTTTGAGGTTGGCAAAAAATCACCGACTTTGTTTCTATGTTTTATGATAAAACCTTTGGATCAATTTTTTTTTGCCTGATGCTAATCTCAAGCAGATTGAGGTCGGCAAATTATTGCTGACCTCAATCTGCTTGAGAGTGGCATCATGTCTCGAAGTAAGACATGGCAAAATTTCAAAATAAATGCTGGGATGAGTCAAGAGCAACATATCTCGTGTGCAAAGACAATTTGAAAAGAGAAGGGAATGACCCCTGCACATACAGAACCAGTGGGCTTATTAACCATCTTTGTTCTAAACATGGTGAAGTATATAAAGTCTATTCTAAAATCTGTGAAATGGAAAAGAAGAGAAAAGCTGAAGAAGATAATGTCTTCCAATAAGCCAAAAATGGATACACTTGAAGC